CTTTCGAAATGCTAGGTTGGCAGAAGCTGGGACGAGTCACGGGAGCTCCCTCCGTTACGCGGCGCTGGGGATTCGAACCGCCGACCTTTCTGATCGACAAGCTCAGCGTCTTAGTCACTGAGCCATCGCGTCCCTTACTGTAACTTTGAACAGTCACTAAATGAACTGTTGTAAGTGAAGGACGGCCTCGTAGTAGAAGCCGTCCCTTTGAATGATCCCTAAATGGCTCCCTGTAGAAGGATGAATCCCATCCCTTCCGAAACCTTCCTCTCTCGAGAAAGGCAACCAGGGGAGAGAGCTGGGGTGGCTTCCAACAGGAAGGCTGGGCTGACCCTGAGCCCCTTCCCACCCCCTCATGGCAGCCCCCCCACCTTGAGGGCTCTCAGGAGCTGCGTGCAGCGCTCGATCCGCACAATGTCGAAGAGGATGTTGAGGGCTCGCGACGTGATTTCCGGCCGGTGTTCGGTGTAGGCCTCGATGGCGTTGAGAACCTGCTCCTCGTTCTTCTCCCCGGTCACCTGGCGGGGTTGAAAGAGGAGGCGGATGAGAGGCCGGGAAGGAGGAAAGCGAGGAGGAGCCACACACACACACACACACAACCGCCCCGGGCTCTGCTGTTACCTTGTAGGCCGGGATGTGCGTGACGTGGCAAAGGGAGACCTCAAACAGCCCCAAGAACTGCAGGGGCCTTTTCAGGTTCCGGAACGGGGCGATGCTGCTTTTCCCTGGGTGGGTGCTAAAAGAACGGACGGGAGAAATGAACAGGCTGTGCACAAAGAATATAGCATCATACAGTTGGGGGGGGACCTCGGAGGTCATCTAGCCCAAGGGTCCCCAAACCTTCGGACCTCGGGGACCACTAAATCCATCGTTTTAAATCCCGCAGACCACTAATAGCCTCTCCTAATGAATGGGTGGGCGTGGCTAGGTGGTCATGTGGCTGGGTGGGCGTGGCCAACTCGATGTCACTCACGTTGAGGGGTGCCTTGCCGGCCTCTACTCGCCCCTCCCTTCCCAGCCCCTCCTCTCCTGCCCACCAGGGGTCCTTAGGGCCCCAACAGGAAGCAGTTGCTGGAGCTAAGCAGCCCCCATGAGAAAGAGTTGGCAAAACAGTTCAAATTGGATCTGATCAAGAAGGAGGCTCAGCAGAAGCACCTCACTGAGGACTAGGAGCATGGGCTTTCCAAACAGAGGGAAGACCTGTGGGAGTTCAAGGCCAGGTGCTCAGCGGGCTGAGAT